GAATACTTTGAAATAACAGGTCTTATTTTCTTAGTTGAAAAGGTAAGAACTATCATATTTAAAATGTAACAGTTTTAAATGATGGGATTCTTTTGAAAGATTATGCAAAATGGTCAAATAGTTTCTTAATTTGAAGAGTCACTGAATTCAATGGAAGAAAGAAGGGTCATTTTCAGTTTTCTCCAGAATGTTCAGGAGGAAGGATAGTGAGAGAAGGAAGATTCTGTATGGGGATATTCAGTCTCTGTCCTCTACTGGGTTTGCTGTCAAATGTGGTGAGACTGCTGAAAGTGCTGGTAGGCATCTGCTATTTATGCAGACTTGTATATATTTCTCAGAGGATGGCAAATTGAATTAGATGTGTAAAGTTGCACTAATGTTCGCCAAGGTATTCCTACTCTGAATACAGAGGAAACCTAACATAACATTATTGTTCCACTATTCCATTTCCTATGATTGTGTTCCTCGAGAATTCTGAGGCATTTGGGTCGTTCCTAGTTCTGGCCTGCCAAGAGAGAAGCTGATATTATGGCAGGTCATGGTATGATGCTTAGAAGGTCTTCACTCCCTCACAAATGATCTCTGTGACCAGTTTGTGATTTGCCTTTTTGTTCTATAAAATCAGGCCAAGTTAAATAATGGGTTCTGTTATTTTAGGTTCTGCCATGATTCTATAATGAGAATATTAACTTTATTTTTTTAGAAGTCTCCTACTAAATATTGGGGGGGGGGGAGGGGCAGAGGGAGAAAGAGAGAGAATCCCAAGTAGGCTTCATGTTGCCAGCGCAGAGCCTGACCTCTGGGGCTCCCATCTCACAGCTGTGACATCAGGACCTGAGCCTATATCAAGAGTCAGACCACTGAGCCACTCAGGTGCCCCAAGAATATGTACTTATTTAAAATAAGTTAAAATCATCTTTTCAGGTTTATTAAAATGTATAGGATATTGTCTAGCAGACTTAAAGCAGTTTCTAGTTTAATACATAATTCGATGGAATAGACTTGAAAAAAAGAATGTTTCTGAGGTCCAGCTCTGTCATTTGCCCTGTGATGTTGGACAAATAAAATTTAACTTGTCTAAGCATCAGTTTTCCAACTGAAAATTATTTCTCAGATACGGATGTTTGATGATAGGCATGTGAATGTGCTTTGGAGTTAGTAGTTCTCAACTTTATCGTAAGGTTAAACACACTTGGAGGCCCTATCCCAGCCTTAAGTAGAATCTTCAGGGGGGAGAGCCCAGGCATCTATATTATTAAGATCCCTGAGTCTGAGAGTTGAAAACCAAAGCTTCATATTTATTGCTATGACCATGTTTAAGAGCTATGGAGATCACACATAGGAAAAGGTATCAAATGTTAATACCTATATGTGCTGGGGAGTCTGAATATGAAGAGTATAATGTGGCCAGGCTTGTGGGGAGTAGATACACATAGCTGTCTACCAAGATGGGATGAGTGCCCTTTGCAGTTTGCCTGGGCATCTGCTAGGACTTCCCACTTGTGCTTCTGTAACTCTTCTGGGCTTCCCTGGCTATGAACCTTCAGATTTAGTGTAGAAGTCCCTGGAGTTTGGTGAGTAATTTGAGATAAGCAGAAAGGCTAAGAAGGTTCTGGATTACAGAATAGTGTAAAAGCCTTTATAAATAAGAAATAAGGTCAAGGAAGCATTTTTGTGGGGAATGGAGGAAGATATCGTTGAGTTTTGGGGATTTAAAGTTTAAGGTGTTTGCATGATACCTAAGTGGGTGTATCCAGTAGAGAGTTGGAAAAAGGTTTGGAATTCAGAAGAGAGGTTACTTGCTGGAGAAGGGAATGTCATGGGAGTAAATAAAAGCACCCTAGAGAGTGTGGGAAATGAAGAGAACCAAAGGCTGAGCTCTGTTGCAGGCCATTTCATGAATGAGTGCATGATTAGACTCCCAAAGGCCTACTCTGCTTTCTGCACCCCCCCCCCCCCCAAACACACAAACAGCAAGCAGTGTCTTAATTTGCTAATCCTCTCTCTTACTAGCCCAGTGGAGTCAGGCAAGTGACCTAGCTTGTCAAGTTTTCTTATCTGTAAAATGGAAATAAGAGTCCCTACCTCAGGGTTGTGAGGATTAAAAAAGAATCTGTAAAGTACTTAAACAGCTACTGGCATATAGTTAAGTGTTTTAACTGTTACTGTTGACTGCCTTGACCTATTGAGATAAATTCTTTTTTTTTTCCTTTTTAAGTAGGCTTCATGCCCAGCATGGAATCCAAACTTGAACTCACAAGCCAGAGATTAAGGCCTGAGCTGAGATCAAGAGTTAGATACGGTTTAACCAACTGAGCCACCCAGGCACACCAAGATAAATTCAATTTCTAGTAAGATCCAATTACCAGCCCCACTTACAACCCACAAAATCTCCATCAGTGACTGGAGCTGGTGTTGATCATTATCTTTCTTGAATTTATTCTCTGCTGCACAATGTGCCACTTAAATAGGCGTTGTTTTAAATGTGCTTATGATTTTTTTCAGTCTTGCTGCCTCAACTGGAATGTTCGCTTCCATTGGGATTAGGTCCATTTCTTACACTTCTGTGTATAGCCACTAATTTCTCAAACATCAGTTATCTCTACTGATGTGGTAACTTACAATAAAATTGTAATGTTTTAGAACTATTTTGGTGCAGAGTGGGAGCTCAACAATGTTTGGATGCATAAATCAATGAAAAGTCTAACATTGCCTTAATATTTGTTTCTATCTACTCAGGTATTTTCTGACAGATGTAGCATAAATAGCAGATAAACACTCCTTACTAAACGAGTGCTTTTCTTCCTAACTCTTAAGCTCTAAGACAGTTCTAAGACTGGGAAAACCAGCATTATGTGGGACTTAATAGCCTGGAACCAGAGTGATAGCTTGTGTATTATTTGTGTTGCAAGTGGAGAGAAGCTTGTCACAACATGCTCTTGATTTTTAGGCTCCTGGGTCTTGGCATCCTAATATGTAAAATTGGGGAGGGGGTAGATTAAGTGATCTTTAGGTTCATGTCTTCTAGCAACACATATGCTAGTATTCACTGGCAATCAGGAAACAAATACATTGTTTTATAAATATATTACAGAAATGTAAGGGAAACACATTATATAGGCTTTAAAAATAATAGCAAAATACATGGCAATTCTCACAATGCTTCTCTTTAAATTTCTGTCTCCTCCCCTCTACCCCCCCCCCCCCCAACCACCTACCAACCTACAAAAAGCAAAAATACTCCCATGTGTCTTATCTGGACCACAATTGAGGGGTCAGATAATATACTCTGAGTTAAAGATACAGATTTCCTATATACAACAGCCAGGACTTGAATTCATAAAAATCTCAGCTTTCTAGGTGTGTGACTTTGAACATGTCATTGAACTTGGCTATTTTCTGATCTGCAAAATAAAGATAATATGAGCAAATATTTACACAGCACTGTTCTGTGTGCCTTACATTATACTTAATAGGGGCGCCTGGGTGGCTCAGTCGGTTAGGCGGCTGACTTCGGCTCAGGTCATGATCTTGCGGTCCGTGAGTTCGAGCCCCGTGTCGGTCTCTGTGCTGACAGCTCAGAGCCTGGAGCCTGTTTCAGATTCTGTGTCTCCCTCTCTCTGACCCTCCCCCATTCATGCTCTGTCTCTGTCTGTCTCAAAAATAAATAAATGTTAAAAATAGTTTTTACTTCTTTATGTCATTGTAAAATTAATGAGACATTCCTCCTCCAAAGCACTTAGTGCATTATATCAGAGTACATATTCAATATAACACCTGTTTTTTCCTGACATAAATTACAGAAACTCTAAAGTTTCTAACATTTAAAATCCTTTAAAAATACTTTGTGCATGGAAAGGTGATACTGTGCTGGAGGAATAACAAGCTTGGTGTCTATTTAAAGTGCTGATACTTGATCATTAGAATTAAAATGAGCTATCTACCAGATAGGAACCCATGTTTTTACTCTTCCCCATGGATCACTAAGTGATTTTTAAAACTGACTTTAGACCTCAAGTTCCCATTTAAGAAACAACTCATGATACCTTGTTACCAACTGCAAAGTGAAGCTGGATGTTTTGGTTATTAGATATCTTAGTGATTTGAGGTTATTGAGTGAAATGTAGGGGGAAAGCTATTAGGGTGGTAAAATGGGACAGGAAATCTCCAGGTTTATTGGAGATACAATACAGCTTCCTAATTTTAAAATCGTTACCCAAGGAAATGTCTAGTATAAAACAATGGTGTGAGTAGTCATTTCAAATGAAAGAATCTGTGGAAGAGGTGAATGTTTATTTCTGGACTGTGTACTCATGTGAAGAGTCATTAATTTTTATTTGTATTTAATTTTAGAGAGAGCGAGCAAGGGAGGGGCAAAGAGAGAGGGAGAGACAGAATCTTAAGCAGGTTCCATGCTCAGTACAGAGTCCAATGTCGGGCTCGATCCCATGACCCTGGGATTATGACCTGAGCCAAAATCAAGAGTTGGACACTCAACCAATTGAGCCACCCAGGCACCACAAGACTTCTATTTCTAAGGGAATTAATGAGATCACAGTCATTTTTCTTCTGAGTAAGAAGGAAAATATTAGGGATTTAATGCCAAAAATGCAATCATTTTTTTCCTGTTAAGTAATAGTTAACACTTAAATAGCGTTTACTATGTGGTAGACATAATTCTATGTGGTATTATTACTAGCTCCCTTTTACAGATGAGGAAACACACAGGTTAAACAACTTGTCCAAAGTCACCTGATGGTATCTTGCAGGGTGGAGAGTTAAACTTCAGTGGTCTGATTCCAGGGTTTGTGCTTTTAATCTTAACAAAGGGCAGAGAGGCTGGGGAAGTAGCTGGAGCAGTGGGGAAAAAACTGGCAGCATTACAGAAATGGAAGAGGTACGAAAATTAATAAAGCACACTACAAGGACAAGGAAAAACTTCCAAAACCCTCTTCCTTCAGTCTTCCTACCACTGGAGAATGCTATTTCATAATTGTTGATTGTAGAACTCTCTATTTACACACAACAATTTATTGGTAACTGCTGGGGATGGGGAGAAAAAGGGTCAGGGTCAGGTTGGTATTACATTTGTACTTAAAAGAATGATGATGATTGAGAGGAGAATTACCACGGTGATGATTATAATCTTTCTGAAGTGTTTCCACCATATCCTCCTGAGAATCTTTCTTGTTTTTTGGGACTCTTTGGCCTGAAATAAAAATAAACACAAATTTAATGTTTTCTTTCTGTATCTGGATTAATGGACACACTTCAATACCTAATAAAGCTATGTAAAAGAACAGATTAACTTGGTTTTGAGCAATCCCAGAGAGTCCCACAAAGTCTGCACAGCTTTTATAAAATGATGCACCAAGATTCCAGGTGCCTTCCTCATTGAGTTCAGCTGTAATTTTATTAATATTAATAAATTAATATTTAATAAATATATTTAATAAATATGTATTACTTAAGAAATATTTAATAAATTAATAGAATTTATTAATAAATAATTAAATTTATTAACTGTGACTGTGACCAAGTTAGTAACTCTTTGAGCCCCAGTTTCCTCATCTTCACTTTATGATTTTACTTAAATGCCACTATCCCTTACAACCCTATTTAAAATCGCTATCCCCATCTCCATCCCAGAAACCCTATTTCCCTTCGATACATTATTTTTCTTTAAAGTATTTATCTCTTGGGGTGCCTAGGTGGTTCAGCCAGTTAAGCGTCTTGACTGGCTCAGGTCATGATCTCATGGTTTGTGAGTTTGAGCCTCTGGCTCTGTGCTGACAGTTCAGAGCCTGGAGCCTGCTTTGTATTCTGTGTCTCCCTCTCTGCCCCTAACCCATTTGCACTCTGTCTCTGTCTCTCTCAAAAATAATCATAAAAAATTAACATGTTTAAGGTATCTATCTCTTATCTAACATTATGTAAATCTTATTTATTGTGTGTTGAGAATGTAAGATCCGTGAAGGCAGGGATTTTGGTCTGTTTCATTCACTGCTGTATTCCCAACAATGCTTAACTTAGAATACTCCTCTATTTTTCTTTAGCACCCGTATATTGCTATTGAGAAATGTGATGCTATTCTAATTGCCAAGTCTTTGTATTTTCTCTCTGAAAACATTTAAAATCTCTCTTCCTTTTTTAATGTTCTACAATTTCAATATTACATACATGCCCTGCTATGGTCCTTGTTTTGTTCATTCAATCTGGAAACTCGTGTTATTTAGTTCTAGGAATTTTTCTTGTATGCCTCTAATTTTCTCTCCTTTGATTTCTTCATTGTCTGAAACTCCTGTTGTTCATATGTTGGATCTCAGATTCGCTGTCTTATCTTTCCTCTTTCTCTTTTTGCTCTCCTTTCTGAGAGAATATCTCAACTTTATATTATAATAATTCTACTGAATTTAAAATTTTTACTATTGTTTTAATTTCCAAAAGATCTCTTTTGTTCTATGAATAAGCTTTTACATAGCTTTTCATTCTTGTTTCTCAGGGATGCATTACTTTCTATTATTTCTCTGAAGACAGAGAAAGGTTGGGGAATGGTCACCATATTCAAAGATACAGATACTCAGGATAAAACTTTTCACTTGATCCATCGGATTTTAATATGCTGGTCACTCTGGCCTCAACTGCATATGGTTTCTGAATTTAGACCCTCTCTGGTCTGTTGTCTTTAGGTAATAACACTTATTATCCTTTTGTCAGGGGTAAGGAGAGGAAGTGATGTGGCTCTAAAATGTAGGGAAGAGGCTCTGCAGGTAACTTGTTCCTTTTAAAGACTTTATACCCAGTCTCCTCTTGAGACTTCTATTGCATGTCTACTTTTACAAGTACCATGTATCTCCAATTTCTGATTCTTTCCAAAGTTCTATGGCCTGGATCAGTTTGCATCTTAATGTCTTCTGGTACAAACTTAGGTTTTGAGGTTTTTGCTACTAAAAAGGTTAAAAAGTACTCATAATTGGTTTTCTAGCTTCCAGAATTGTTGCCATCTCTTACCTGTTGTCTTTTCCTTGTTGTTTGTCCTAGTAATTTATACATTAAAATTCCTAATTATTGCTTTACCTATAATTTTATTGGAATTTTGAGTGTATGCCAAGATAAATGTATCTGTTTAATCTGTCACATTAAAATCCATGACCCATATTTATCTGTAGGCAGACTGAGAGAAAGCTTACTGGCCTTTTTGTTAAAAAGCCAAATGGGCTTTTTTTTTTTCCCTTTAAAAAAGCTTATTTATTTTGAGAGAGAGAGAGAGCACTTGTGCACAGGTGTGAGCACAAGCAGAGCAGGGGTGGAGAAGGAGAGAGGGCTCGATGTCAAGAACCATGAGGTCATGACCTGAGTTGACAGGAGTTGGAAGCTTAACTGACTGAGGCACCCAGGTGCCCCCAAATCAGCTTCTTAAGGACATTCAGTAGTCTTTTATATAAAGATCAAGGGGGAAAAGAGAGGTAACTAATTTTGCAAGTCAAAAAATAGAGGTTTTTGTGAGAATGATTATGTGGTATCTGTGTGAAAAATATTCTTAGAAAAACTGTAAAATACTTCAAATATGTTTTATTGAGCTGCTTCTACTCAACTGTCCTCAAAGAGGAAGTCATTTTTTTCTTCATGTAATCATGTATGCATAAAAGTGGGATTTGTTTGGAAGGTAAGGCAGTAAAGTGAAATAAAATCTCTTACTTTTTTTGCCATATTTTTTGTGGGATTTAGATGTTGCCACTTACCCCATAAAAAAGGCAAAATCTAATAAAAAAATTAATAGATCTGGCAGTATGGTAGACTAAGTAATCCCATAACCCTCCTGCCACTATTACTACTCAGAAATGCTAGATAAGATATAATAAGCAAACTTAAATTCATAGCAGAATTGGGAAGAAAGTCAGAGTACAGCCTGGTGCCGAAACTTAGGCAAACAGTGAGAAATTGCACTTCTGGTGCAGCTTGTCTGGATTTGGGAGGGTGAGGACATTGGCTTCTGTCATCCAGGGCTTGGGATTTTCACTGCCCACAGGCACAGCAGGCTAATCTCTGGGCTCCATGAGGAGAACATGGAACTATATTGAATTTTCATCTTTCCTGCTAACTAGGCTCAAAACTTTGGAGTCTTCCTTAACTCCCTCTCACCACACATGCAATCTGTCAGCAACTCCAATTTGTTCCACCTTCAAAATGTATACAGAATCCAACCACCTCTCACCACTTGTACTGAACTAAATATTCATTTTATGTTACCTACACTTTTACCACTTTCCTTGCTCTTTAATTTTTTGCTGAAAGTCAGATTTCTCCTCAGAGATAATTTTCCAACTACCTAAAATACCTCCTTTAGAATTTCCTTAGTGCAGATGTGATAAACACAGCCAGCTATCCACTGCAGACTTTAGTTCCCCTCTCATAATGTAGAATTATTGCTGGCAAGAGACTCTCCAATCACAGACCACATTTATCAGGCTCTTCACCCCACTCTGTGCTGTTTCCCTCTCTGCCTCTTGCACATATGCAAAGCTGTAAGACTAATTCTTACCAATAGGTCGTGAGTAGAAATGATGGTGTCACTTTTGGGCTGAAGTGGCTATAAGCAATTATGCTTCTTCCACTCCATGTTTAACCAACTGCCACCTGAAATGGAAAGACTCTAAGGTCCCAGGCAATGGCAGAGTCACAAAACGGAAAAAGCTTGGGTCCCTGGATTACCATGTGAAATTATGCCCACGGAAAACCTGTTTTAAATTGTTATGCAACCAAGAAATAAACCTTTATTTAGTTCAACAGTTAGTGTTTCTCTAATACTGCAGTTGGTAGTAGGATGAGATGTTATTAAAAGAGTCTAAAACATGTGGCATTGGCTTAACCATCAGGTGGTAGGCAGTGAAGAAACTGGTAGTAGAGGCTGGAAAGATAAAGACCTATATTCTTCAGAATAAAACACTGGATAGTTTTTACCATTGCCTGTGACAACTTGGAAGGCAAACAAATTGCCTATTGAGTCTTTCACTTTGGAAGAAAATGTTGGAAAACAGAATGGTAATGGTGTGAGTTCTTGTTACTGGCTGCATTTATCAAGGTACCAACTGGCTGGTTTGCAAGAAGAAATGAAAAAGGAATAGGGTGAAGAAATGTGGAACACTGAAACATCAGATAAGCTTATGTTTTTTTGGTCCAGAAATAGAAATATTGAAAAGGTCTTTAATGACAGATACCCATTAAGAAGATTCTGTCCTCCCTCAATAACAGAAAAACTCTAAACCTATTAAAAAAAAATGGGAAAAAGACTTGAACAGACTTTCATCAAAGATCTATAAATGGCCAATAAGCATGCGAAAAGATGCTCAACATCATTAGTCATTGAGGGAATGCAAATCAAAAGGAGATGCTAGTTAAAAAAGTGAGATGCTAGTTCATACCCAGTAGGATGTCTATAATTAAAAAAATGGAAAATAACAAGTGTTGGAGAGGATATGGAGAAATCTGAACCCTCTTACATTACTGGTGGGTACTTGTGGCTACCCTCTTACATTACTGGGTTCAACCACTGTGGAAAATAGTTTGGAAGTTCCTCAAAAAGTTAAACACAGAATTACCACATGATGTAGCAATTCCATTCCTATGTATACACACAAAGGAATTGAAATCAAGTATTCAAACAAAAATTTGTACATGGATGTTAATAGCATTATTCACAATAGCCAAGGCAGAAACAACCCAAATGTCCACCAAATGATGACTAATAGATAAGCAAATAGGGGTGTATCCATAAAATGGAATATTACTCAGCCACAAAAAGGAATGAATTACTGACATATGCTACAACATGGATGAACTAGAAAAACATGCTAAGTGAAAGAAGCCAGCCACAAAAGACTGGATTGTATGATTCTATTTATATGAGATAGCCAGAATAGGTAAATCCATAGAGACAGAAAGTAGATTCGTGGTTGCCAGGGCCTGGGGAATAATTGTTTAATGGATATGAGGTTTCTTTTTGGGGTGACAAAAAAGTTTTGAAACTAGTAAGGTGTTGGATATACAATACTGTGAATGTATTCAATGCCACTGAATTGTATACTTTAAAAATGTTAATTATACCTTATGTGAGTTTTACCTCAATTAAAAAAAAAAAGATTCTGCCCTGTGGTGGAGACGAGGTTAAGGGTGCAATATGCTTCCTATCCAAGCCTAATGGCCTCAAAGTAGTTGTCTTTAAATTGAGAGGGAGGCATGAGAGCAAGGAGCAGGAGCAAATAACCGGGTTTCAGAATATTGTCCAGAAAAGAACTTTACATGTGGATACAGGCACTTGGAAACGACTAGAAGCAAAAAGATTCAAAATCAACCAAATTTTGAAATGGAAAATAAAGCAGAACCTGGTCCTTTGAAAAGACCAAAACAAAACAAAACAAAAAAACTTGATTAAAATAATCGAAAGGCTAAGAATGAGGAAATTAAACCAACCACAGGCACAAGACAAAAGTTAAGAATACAACCGCATACAGCATATAGTATAAGTTTTTATACACGGCTAGAGTCAGTCTTTTGAGGCAACAAAGGTAAAACTATAGCAGTGAATCCTACAACACGTACAAACATGTAATGTGAAATTTATCATATTAACAGGTTTAAGAAGAAAAATCATTATCTCAATTAATGTAAAGATAGCATTTGATACAATTCAACCCCCTGTCATGATAAAATTTCTTAGCAAATAAAGAATAGAAAGGAAGATTTATAAGTTGTTAAAAAGTATCTATCAAAATCTGAATGTAAATTTAATAATTAATTGGGAAGCATTAAAAATATTCATTTTAAATTGGGAACAAGTATTTCAGATATCACCATTTCTAGTCAATATTTTACTGGCATTCCTAGATAACATAGTAAGACAAGCAAAAATAAATAAAGAGGGGTGCCTGGCTCTAGGTGGAACACAACTCTTGATGTTGGGGTTTTAAATTGGGTACAAGTATTTCAGATATCACCATTTCTAGTCAATATTTAACTGGCATTCCTAGATAACATAGTAAGACAAGCAAAAATAAAGAGGGGTGCCTGGCTCTTGGTGGAACATGTAACTCTTGATGTTGGGGTTGTGAGTTTGAGCCCCATGTTGGGTGTAGAGGGTACTTAAACAAAAAAAATTAAAAAATGAATATATATGGGAGAGGATGAAAAAATATAGTCATTATTTAGTATATGATAAAGTTTTTATGTAAAAATGCAAAGAAATCCATAGATAATATTACCATGAAAGTTCAGTAAGATTTAGGATACAATAGTATGCAAAAATTGATTGTGTTCCTATTAATCAAAAAACAGAGTCAGAAAGAGACTTAGAAAAATGGAGACCTAGCACATTCAGAGATGTGAAAACAATATTTTAAAGATGTCAATCCTCCCCACATTAATGTAATTCCAACTAACATCCTAAAATTGTGTGTGTGTGTGTGTGTATGTGTGTGTGTAACTCAAGATGTAGATTCTAAAATTCACTGAAAGAGAAAGCAAGACTTGCTAACACAATTTTCAAAAAGTAGAATACCATTCACTATAAGATATTAAGACTTCTTATAAAACCACAGTAATTAAAACAGTATAGTACTGGTCCAAGGATAAAGAAATGGATTAGTAGATATTAAATATGTATAGGGAGGGGCACCTGGCTGGCCTACTCGTAAGTGCATGTGGCTCTTGATCTTGTGGTCATGAGTTCAAGCCCCACGTTGGGTATGGAGATTACTTAGATAAATTGCCCCGATGTGGGGCTCGAACTCAGGACCGCGAGATCGTGACCTGGCTGAAGTCGGACGCTTAACCGACTGCGCCACCCAGGCGCCCCTCTTTGTTTATTTTAATCAAAAAAATAGGAAGGGAATGAACATGTATTAATGTACAACATATGGATAGGTGCTGACACTTTCCCTAAGTGTGTACGTAAAATGATACATGAGGACGCTTAAGGTTTTTTAGGGGTAAAGTGTAAATTCCCTAGTGACAAAGAGTTGACCACTGCCTACCCCTTTATCCATTTACCTGTAGTGTATTGCAATTCCTATAATTTACATGCATCTGGGGAAGAGAATTTATGGGCAATATTATTTAGTTTTAACTAAACTAAAAAGTACACATGTGGCTTAAAAATTCTACCAATAAAGGGGTGCTGGTTGGTTCAGTAGGAAGAGTGTGCAACTCTTGATCTTGGGGTTGTGAGTTCATTACTTAAATAAATAAATAAACTTAAAAAAATTATACCAATAAGGCAAACATAAACAACAAAAACATGGCAAAGAGGATATATCTCTTCTAGTTTGAGTATTTCATGTGCCATATTTAGAAATAAAAATATAATGATTATAATCAGATCTGACTTTTAATCACAATTACTATTATTAAAAACATTCTTATTAATATTTTTCTTAATCGGAGAGAAAGTTTTAATCTTCTTAAAAAACCAAATTATTTAATATTTTATTTCATCTTCATCCCATTCTTTTAATTACTACTTTCCTATATGCTTTATATTATATAGTGTTATTATAGAAGAATATATAATTTAGATATATATCTAAATGCATTCTCAAGAATGCACTTGTAAATTTGTAAAATTACAAATAAGTATGCATGACCAAAAAACTCTACAGATCACTGTCTTAGAACCAGTTTTGAGGGGAACCTGATTGAGGTGACTCAATCAGTTGAGTGACTGACACTTGGTTTTGGCTCAGGTCACGACTCATAGCTTGTGAGCTGGAGCCCCACATCAGGCTCCACACTATGGCCCTCCCATGTGCACTCTCTCTCTCAAAATAAATAAACAAAAAGAACAGTTTTGCAAAAGTGTACCAAGAGATATGAATAGGTTGTTCAAAGAAGTATTGTTCATAATAAAGTTAGAATCTACATTAATGTTTATTAAAAGGAGAAAAAATAAGTATACTGTGTTTATGTATTTTTAAGTTTTTTACATTTTATTTAGAGAGAGAGAGAGAGAGAGAGAATGGGGGACGGGCAGAGAGAGAATCCCAAGCAGGCTCTCCACTGTCAGCGCAGAGCTGGATGTGGGGCTTGAACACACGAACTTGAGATTATGAACCTGAGCCGAAATCAAGAGTCAGTGCTTACTTGACTGAGCCACCCAGACGCCCCCGACTACGTTTACTTAAATAGTAATGATATGCTGTCAGAAGTTAAACTGATAAATTAAAGCTAAGTGTGTCCAAATAAATACAGTTCATAAACATAATGTTGAACTAAAATCTTATGTTTTAGTTCATTATATGTACATTATAATGTCACAAACATAAAGTTAAAATGCAAACTAAGAATGTAGATACATATATACCTACAGATACAAATCAGGACTCAAGCATACAAATGATTCATATCAAATTCATGATAGTGGTTCTGGTGTGGAAGGGGAATGGGCTTGGGAAAGGTACACAGGGACTTTAATCATAGTCTAATTTCTTTTTAAAAATTTTTAATGTTTTTTTTAAAATTTATTTTTGAGAAGGAGAGAGTGTGAATGGGGGAGGGACAGAGAGAGAGGGAGACGCAGAATCAGAAGCAGGCTCCATGCCATCAATGCAGAGCCTGATGTGGGGCTCGAACTCATGAACTGTGAGATCATGACCTGAGCTGACATTAAGAGTCGGATGCTTAATGGACTGTGCCCCCTAGGTGCACCCAAAACTATCTTCTAATAGAAAATTTTGAACACATACAAAAATTGACAGAATGGTATAATGAAACCCTATATACTCAACATCTAGTTTTAACAATTATCAACTTATGGCCAATTTTGTTTCATTTATACCTCATTCTACTCCCCCACTCCTGAACTATTCTGAAGCTGATCTCAGACATTACATAAATTCATTCAAAATATTTTAATATGTATTTCTAATAAGTAGTGACTTTTTAAAAACATAACCATAATACCATTATTACATCTAAAAACCAATAATATTTCTTACTGTCATCTAATATCCAGTCAGAATTCAAATATCTACTTATTCGTGAAGTTGTAAATGTTCATGTTTAGAGTTTGTTTGAATCAAATTTCAAATAAAGACCACACACTGAAATGATACACCTTCTAAATCCATTTTTTGGTAAGTTCTCCCTCTTTTTTTTCCCTTGAAATTTATTTGTTGACTAATCTGTGTGTTTTTTAATGTAAGAAATACATCTGTTAGGCAAATAAGTACCTCCTACTTTAATGGGTTTTAAATTTTCATTGTTTTATAATTAATACTTTAGTTGCATTCTTATAATTTTTTTTTAAATTTTTGTTAACATTTATTTATTATTGAGAGACAGAGAGAGACAGAGCATGAGCAGGGGAGGGGCAGAGAGAGAGGGAGACACAGAATCTGAAGCAGGCTCCAGGCTCCAAGCTGTCAGCACAGAGCCCGACGCGGGGCTTGAACTCACAAACCGTGAGATCATGACCTGAGCTGAAGTCGGACACTTAACCAACTGAACCACCCAGGAGCCCCTATAATTTTTTGATAAAGCCATAGTTTGGTGACATAGGATTATCTCACAGTATTCCTGGTATTCCTCACAGTATTTCCTTTTGGCCATTTGTCTCAAGTCCTAAGACACTGTTTGGATATCAAGACAGGTGAACATCACTTACAGTTGTTTGGAGATCATCGGTTTTATCAGTGAAGATATTCAATCTTTCTTCATTTTCCAAAATTTCATCAATATTTTTGGACATAATATTTTTTACTTCAGTTACTTGGCTCCTCAGTGTAGATATTGAGCTATCACCTTGATTTTTATTGTATTGCATCTATATAGAAATGAAATATAATACAAATATTATTTTCTATAAATAAAATTTATGATAATAGATAATACAAATTAGAACAAAAGTGTCAAAGGCGCATTTCAATTGTATTTCAGCATAAGGAATCAACTAAACTGCAAATTGTCCCACCTTAATCTTGCTAAAAAAGGGGAGAGGGTGGATGGAAGAGTGATATTTCAATATATTCAATCAGTGGTGGAAGTCTTTTTTAAAATTTAAGTTGTTTATTTATATAGACTTTTAAAGAGAAGTTTTAGGGGTGCCTGGGTGGCTCAGTGGGTTAAGTGTCCGACTTCTGCTCAGGTCATGATCTTGCGGTTGGTGAGTTTGAGCCCCGCGTCAGGCTCTGGGCTGACAGCTCAGAGCCTGGAGCCTGCTTTGGATTCTGTGTCTCCCACTCTCTTCCCCTCCCCCACTCACGTTCTGTCTCTCTCTCTCTCAAAAATAAACATTAAAAAAATTTTTTTTAAATAAAGAGAAGTTTTAGGGTCATAGTAAAATTGAGTGGGAAGTATAGAGTTCTCACATGCCCCTTATCCCCTCCCTACACCCCTCCCCCTCCCCAAAGCTCCCCATCAACAACCTGCACTAGAGTGGTACATTTGCTACAATGGATGACCCCACACTGATGCATCATTATCACCCAAAGTCCATAGTTTACATTAGGTTTCACTGTTGGCATTGTACATTCACTTGGTTTGGACAAATGTATACTGACATGTATTCACCATAATATAGTATCACACAGAACAGTTCCACTGCCCTTAAATTCCTGTGTTCCACCTATTCATGCCTCCCTTCTCCCTAAGCCCTGGCAACAATTGGTCTTTTTACTGTCTCCATAGCTTTGTCTTTTCCAGAATGTCATATAGTTGGAACCAAGTACTGGCTTTTCATATTGGCTTCTTTCACTCAGTAATATGTATTTTTTTTAAGTTTATTTATTTATTTTGAGAGAGACAGATCGAGTGGGGGAGGGGCAGAGAGCTAGGGAGACCATCCCAGGCAGGCTCTGTGCTGTTAGCACAGAGCCGGGTGTGGGGCTCCACTCATGAAACCGTGAGATCATGACCTGAGCTGAAACCACGAATTGGACGCTTAACTGACTTGAGCCACCCAGGCGCCCCTCACTTAGTAATATGTATTTAAGTTTCCCACATATCTTTTCATGGTTTGATTTACTCATTTTTTTTAGTGCTGAATAATAGTCAATTGTCTGGATGTACCACAGTTTATTCATTTACCCATGGAAAAACATCTTGGTTGCTTCCATGTTTTGGCAAGTATAAATAAAGCTGCTATAACATCTGTATGAAGACTTTTGTGTGGACATTACTTTTCAACTTATGTAAATAACAAAGGTGTGGTTGTTGGATCATATGGTAAGAGTATGTTTAGTTTTGTAAGAAACTGCCAAACTGTCTTCCAAAGTGACTGTAGCATTTTGCATTCCCATCAGTAGTGAAGAAGCATTCCCACTGCTCTACTTCCTTGTCAGCATTGGTGTTGTCAGTGTTTTGAATTTTGGCCTTTCTATTTAAAAATTATTTTCATGTTTATTTATTAAAATTTTCTTTAACATTTAGTTTTGAGAGACAGAGTGCAAGCGGAGGAGGAGCACAGAGAGAGGGAGACACAGAATCTGAAGCAGGCTCTAGGCTCTGAGCTGTCAGTATAGGGCCCAATTTGGGGCTTGAACTCACAAACCATGAGATCATGACCTAAGCTGAAGTCGGAAGCTTAACTGACTGAGCCACCCAGGTGCCCCTAAAGTCTTTATTTTTAAAAGTAATTTCTACAACCAACATGGGGCTTTAACTCACAACCCTGAGATCAAGAGTCACATCCTCTACCGACTGAGCTAGCCAGGCACTCCTTTAGCCCCTCGCCTCCTTTTTTTGAGAGAGAGAGAGCATGCGCATGTGCAAGTGAGAGTGGTGGGAAGGGCAGAGGGAGAGGGAGAGAGAGAACCCTAAGCAGGCTCCACACCCAGCATCAAGCCTGACTCAAGGCTCCATCTTACAACTGTGAGACCATGACCTGAGCCAAAATCAAGACTTGGACACTTAACTGACTGAGCCACCTAGGCGACTCTGGCCCATTTTTAAATCAGGCTGTTTTATGTTATTGTTGAGTTTTCAGAGTTCTTTGTGTATTTTGGATAACAGATGTATCTTTTGCAAACATCTTCTCCCAGTCTGTGGCTTGTCTTCTCATTCTCTTGACAATTTTTTGAAACAAGCTTACAATCTGTCTCTTAATTGGTGTATTTAGATTATTAACTTTATTATTATTATTTTTTTATATAGTTTATTGTCAAGTTAGCAAACATACAGTGTATACAGTGTGCCTTTGGCTTTGGGAATAGATTCCTGTGATTTATCACTTATATACAACACCCCAGTGCTCATCCCAACAAGTGACCTCCTCAATGCCCATCACCCATTCCTCCTCCCCGCCCCCCCACCCCTTCAACCCTCAGTTTGTTCTCTGTATTTAAGAGTCTCTTATGGTTTGCCTCCCTCTCTGTTTGTAACTACTTTTTTTTCCTTCTCTTCCCCCATGGTCTTCTGTTAAGTTTCTCAAATTCCACATATGAGTGAAAACATGATATCTGTCTTTCTCTGACTTATTTCACTTAGCATGATACCCTCCAGTTCCATCCACTTTGTTGCAAATGGCAAGATTTCATTCTTTTTCATTGCTGAGTAGTGTGTGTGTGTATATATATATATATATACATATATATATAGAGTACAGATATGTATATATATATATATATATATATATAGATATATATATATACTACATCTTCTTTATCCATTCATCAATGGACATTAATGGACATTTGGACTCTTTTCATAATTTGGCTATTGTTGATAGCACTGCTATAAACATTGGGGTACATGTGCCCCTATGAATCAGCACTCCTGTATCCTTTGGATAAATTCCTAGTAGTGCTATTGCTAGGTTGTAGGGTAATTCTATATTTAATTTTTTTTTTCAACGTTTTTATTTATTTTTTGGGACAGAGAGAGAGCATGAACGGGGGAGGGGCAGAGAGAGAGGGAGACACAGAATCGGAAACAGGGTCCAGGCTCCGAGCCATCAGCCCAGAGCCCGACGCGGGGCTCGAACTCACGGACCGCGAGATCGTGACCTGGCTGAAGTCGGACGCTTAACTGACTGCGCCACCCAGGCGCCCCTATATTTAATTTTTGAGGAACCTCCACACTGTTTTCCAGAGCGGCTGCACCAGTTTGCAGTCTCACCAACAGTGCAAGAGGGTTCCCGTTTTTCCACAACCTCACCAGCACCTGTTGTTTCCTGAGTTCATTTTAGTTACTCTGACCAGTGTGAGGTGGTATCTCAATGTGGTTTTGATTTATACTTCCCTGATGATGAGTGATGTTGAGCATCTTTGCCTGTATCTGTTAGCCATCTGGATGTTTTCTTTGGAAAAGTTAGACCATTAACTTTTAAAGTGATTATTGATATAGTTGGACTAATATCTACCATATTTGTTACTGTTTTCCATTCATTGTTCTTGTCCTTTGTTCCTATTTTATGTCGTCCACTTTATCCATGTTAACAAAAATGGTCATTCCAATGTAGTGTTATATATAAAAAGCTACAGCTGCAGAACAATATTAAATAATAACTTATTGAACACTTAGTATGTGCCAGGTGCTGTTTTAAGCACTTCACACATATTAACTCATTTAATTTCCAAACCACCATATAAGGTAGTACTTTTATCATTTTATTTTCTAAAGAAGAAAACAGAGACTGAGAGAAATTAATAAGGTACTCAATGTTACACAGCTAGAAGCAAAACAAGGATTCAGACTCAAGTTCCAGAGATCAAGCCTTTACCCATTGTATTAATGACCTTAGTTTTGTGAATTTAAAATGTATGTATAAACTTATGTTATATATATTATAAACATATAATGTATACAAAAATGTATACTTACATACATGTGCATACATTTATATTTATATGTATGTTTATACACATAAAAATTCTGGAAGGTTATACACTAAACTGTTAAGAGTGCTCACCTCAGGGGGTTTGACTGAGATTGTAGGAGATACTCGTATTTTGCTTCATATACTTTTGTATTATTTTACTTTACTAATGAGCATTGTTTTTTAAGCTTTATTTATTTTTGAGACAGAGAGAGAGAGAGAGAGGAGAGAGAGAGAGCGTAAGTGGGGGAGGGGCAGAGAGAGGGAGACACAGAATTTGAAGCAGGCTCCAGGCCCTGAGCAGTCAGCACAGAGCCCGACGCAGGGCTCGAACTCATGAACCGCAAGATCATGACCTGAGCTGAAGTCAGATGCCCAACCAACTGAGCCACCCAGTTGCCCCAACTAATAAGCCTTATATTTTAAATAAAAAAAAAAACCCTGCTCGTTGGCAAATGATCAAATCCACCTTAGACAGAACTCTGATCTTGTTGGTTACAGGACCATGCAACTTACAATTGATGTTTTGTGAGGAGCTCACTAGGTAAATGTAGAAAAGAGGAGGTTGCTAGTTGAACTGTGTCCCCCAAAAGGTATGTTCAATTCCTAACTCCAGGAACCTGTGAATGTTACTTTATCTGGAAATAAGGTCTTTGCAGATATAATCGACTTAAGATGAATGGTTAATTTTTTATTTTTCTTTTTGTTCCTTTTTTCTTTCTCTCCTTTTAAAAAATGTTTAAGTTTTTTAACCTAAGAGAATCATTTAAGATTTGTTAAGATAATGTATTTATAGTCCATTCATTGGCATTCAGATTATACACACACACACACACACACACACACACACACACACACACATTTAAATCTCTCAAAACATTTTTCTTTTGTTAATTATAGTATAAGAAATTCAACAACTTTTAAAAATTTTCTACAGATTTAATGCTTACCAGGTTAGTTTATAAATGTTAAAAAGAAATGTCTTTGATGTCAGATGTGTTAACTGCTTAAAATATGCATATTTTCATATGGTAACTAGTTTTTGGGGAGCTTTGTCAATAATATATTTTGGCTGTGTAGAATAGGCAGAATTCTTCATAAAAAATTTATGAATTTAATATAAAAGCATCTATCCTTAAGTATTTTTTAGGCATTGTGGTAGACACACCCTATGGTGACCCCCAATGTATCACATCCTTGTAAACCACCCCTCCCCACCCCCAAGTGTGACTTGCTTCTAATTAAGAGAAGCAAAGGTGATGGGATGTCACTCTTGTGATTATGTCACATTATATAATATTTAGTAGACTGGAGTGAGAGAGATTCCTCTGCTGGTCTTGACAGGGAAGCAGCCATACTGAGGACAGCAACTGGCAAGGACCTGTTGTTGTCAGTTCCTAGGACCTGAGGGTGTCCCCTGGTCAATAGCCAGTAAAAAGCTGCATCCCTGGCACAGCTGTAAGGAACTGAATTTTGCAACAGGCTCTGAATGAGCCTGGAAGCCAAATCTTCCCCAGAGCTCCTGGATGAGAACACAGCCTGTCTAACAAACTCACTGCAACTTTGTGTGGACCCTGAGGAGAACTTAAGTCCTGCCTGGATTCCTGACCCACAGAACCTGGGAGATAATAAATGTGTGCTGTTTTAGGCTGCTGATTTGTACTGATTTGTTAAATACATAATTAGAAAACTAAAACAGTTATACTGAGAATATTTTAATACGGAAAAGTTCATATACAGAGTGAACAGTATAACCCATCCCTATGCACCCATCACCGAGTATCGACACATGGCCAATCTTGTTTCATCTATACTACTACCAATTACCTCTTCCCCAAATGTATTGTTTCAAAGCACATCCCAGACATTCTATCATTTTAATCTGTAAATGCTTCAGTTTGTATCTCTAAAAGATATGGCCTCATTTTTCTTAAAAATAAGACTACAACATCATTATCATATCTATAAAAATGCCTTAATATCATCAAACATCCAGTTTGTAACAAATTTATAAAAAAAATCATAGTTGTTTTGTTTTTCAACATTTGTTTTGCTGATCCAGGATCCAAAGTCCGCATTTAGTTGATATGCATAAGTTTCTTTTAATCTGTGGATTCTCCTTAACTTTTTCCCCATTGCAATTTATTTGTTGAAGAAATTTGATTATTTGTCTTGTAGAGTTTCTCATATTCTGGATTTTGCTGATTGGATTGCTGTGTATCATTTAATGTGGTCACTGATCTCTCTATTTCCTGTAAACTGGTAGTTAGATATAAAGGCTTGGTCCTATTCAGGTTTGATGTTTTGGGCAAGCCTACTTCAGATGTGTGCTATATACTACTTACTGTGTGACATCAAGAAACACATAACTGATGACTGATTGTCTTCCTTATTGTGACCTTAGGAATAAGCAATGGGTTTAGGTATTTAAAAAAAAATTTCTTTTTTACATTTATTCACTTTTGAGAGACAGAGAGAGACAGAGCACAAGCAGGGGAGGGGCAGAGAGAGAGGGCAACACAGAATCTGAAGCAGGCTCCAGGTTCTGAGCTGTCAGCACAGAGCTGGATGTGGGGCTGGAACTCACAAACTGCAACATCATGACCTGAGCTGAAGTTGGACGCTTAACTGACTGAGCCACCCAGGTGCCCCAGTGGGTTTAGGTATTCTGAGTCAGTTTCATTTCATTTATTATGAATTTCCCCATCAGCGTTTCACCTAATTTTTTTCAGTCATCAATGATCACTGCCTAGATCTATTATTACATTAGGGATTGTAAAATAGTGAAATTTATTACCTCTTCTTTGTTTATTAGCTGGAGTATTTCTATATTTGGTCTATATAAAGACCAAAAAAAAAAAAAACAACCTTTTTCCCTATCAACTATTTGTTTTATCTGAAGTACAGTTCATATAAGAAAGTCAGAATAAATGGTTGAGCCTTTTATTTATTGGTTTTTGGAGTGATGAGGTGGATCCTTAGAATCTTCCAGAGCTGACTGACGAGGGATTATTCCCCCCCTTGATAGTATCTAGGAACTCAAGGAGTTTTAACATATATGATGTGTTACAATCCACTGCAGTTATTATTCTTTTTGATGTTCAGTTATTCCATTACTGACAAGTGTTAGCTACTTCAAGTTGGCTCCTAAAGTCTTTTGACAAGAGTACAGTGAACTTTGAAAGCTTCCTTTTTTCTGGTATGACAAAATGTTTCTGGCTTATATGTTTCCTGCCTGACATCTGCAATTAGGTCTTATTCTTTTTAGTGTAAAATGGTATTTAGAGACAATAATCTAGATGCTAAGGGGGCACACTGCTACTGGGTTGATCATTATTTCTAATGTTTTTCAATAGACAGCCTAGGAAATACTTTTATTTTTTATTTTTATGAGGTTTATTTATTTATTTTGAGAGAGAACAAGGAGCAGAGAGAGAGGGAGAGAAATAATTACAAATCACGAGGGGCCTGATCTCACAAACTGCGAGATCATGCCCTGAGCCAAAATTAAGAGTTGGTCACTCGACTGACTGAGCCACCCAGGTGCCCCATTATACTTTTTTTAAAAGAGAAAAAAGGATTGATATATTTTCAGTGAAAAAAATTTCAATATGTAACTTTCAATTAAAATTTTCAGTATTTAATTTTCTTTAAAATTTTTTTAAAATTTTCAAGTAAAATTTAGGATTATAAGGTTTTACTCAATTCTTTGATTTTATATTTGCAACTATTGCTGAAAACCTTGATTCCTAATGACATTAACTTGACTACTTAAAGTAATATATTTATATAAACCAATTTTAGAATAGCAACACCAATGTCATTATTAACAATGGGACACTTGGAAATAAAAACTTTAATATTTATTTTTTAGTTCTTTTGTCATTGGGGTATAATCTCACTAGGAATATACAAATTGTTGTTTCTTAAAGTCGGTTGAAATAAATTTTCACTGTCTTTTAAGTCATCAGCTCAATACACAATTAGGTTCTATGCTGACAGCTCAGAGCCAGGAGCCTTCTTTGGATTCTGTTTCCCTCTTTCTCTGCCCCTCATCCTCTGTCTCTTTCTCTCTCTCTTAAAAATAAATAAACATTAAAAAAAAACCTATTAGATTTTTTTTTTTGAGTTTTAGGGATTACTTTTTTAAAATAAAAAAAATTGTTATGGTAAGATATACAGAACAAAATTTACCACTGTAATGATTTAAAAAAATTTTTTTAAGTTTATTTATTTTGAGAGAGAGACAGCAAGAGTAAGCAGGGAGGGGCAGAGAGAGAGAGAGAGAGAGGGAGACAGAATCCCAAGCAGGCTCTGCACTGCCAGCTCAGAGCCTGATGTGGGGCTTGAACCCACAAACCATGAAATCATGACCTGAACGGAAATCAAGAGTTCGATGCTTAACCGACTGAGTCACCCAGACGCCCCTACAATTGTAATGATTTTTAACTGTACAGTTCAGTGGCATTAAGTATATTCACATTGTTGTGCAATTATTACCACCATCCATTTCCAGAACATTTTTCATCTTCCCAAACTGAAACTCTATACCCCTTAAACACCAATTCCTCCTCTTCCTTTCCCCCCAGGCTCTGGCAACTGTTGTTCTACTTTTTGTCCCTACAGATCTGACTTTAGGTACCTCATATAAATGGAATCACACAGTATTTGTCCTCTTGGGACTGTCTTATTTCACTCTAGGGACTATTTTTTAAAAATTTAATTTAATAGTATTCTATAATTATGTAAAATATTTACATGGTTCCAAAGTCAAATTTGCAAAATAAGTTTCATTCAGAAAGGCCTTGTTTCTATTCCTGCCCCTTATCCCTATGTAGGCAACCATTAAAATGTTTTTGATTTATCCTTTTCTTGCCCCCAATCTCCCTTTTTTTTTTTGACTATAAGCAAACAAATAAATATGTTTGTATTTACTCCCTCTTTCTTAAATGGCTGCATATAAGATTGGTAAACAAATAATGGTATACCATATATACTTTCTCTATCTTGCTTTATTCACTTACCAATATATTGAGGATATCATTCCTTATCATTATATAAGAATAGAAATCCTCAGTTCTCATCTTTACAGCTCTTATCTCCTAATTCCAAACTGATTTTTCAGCTGTCATACAATGTTTAGGAGTACAGTTGGAGGTTACATACCATATACTTCCCTAATACTTGTTGAAAATCTGCAGCAACTGCATTTGAAGGAGAAAAATGTTCTTGTGACATCAAAGGATTTCTCAGAAAAGTGTCGCTAACCTAGGGACATTAATGGAAATGTTTAACCTGTGTAGATAATTTAACTGGAGAATTACAGAGCAAATGTTTATTTGAAGCAAAATCTGGCAGAAATGTGAAGTAAACGAATATTGTATTTCCGCACCGTTTCTAGCTTTTTGGTGGGAGAGTGTCCTTTCTAATTAAAGATGCAGTATTTATGAAAACTGTGCTTGCTCAGTCTTCTCCACTGCTGCAGTACAGATCACAATCTCACGGAGTGAGACTGCAGATACCACTTGGAGCCTTTGGTATGTCTGAGGACTTGAGGGGAAGAGCAGATGTTCACCTCTGGGAGACAAAGAAAGATGGATGGCCATGATATTTTCTAAATAAATGTGTCCTCCTGCTCCTACCCTCAAAATCCACTCAACGATAACTAAACAATCCCAACTAAGTGTCACGATACTATCTTTCAAACCCTTATGGTTGTTAAAGGACATTTCAAAGTCTCAGGAAGGAATTCTTTCAATTGTTTGTACTCGATGTTGTATTCCCCAGAAGTAGTGGTAAAATTTATGTGGTTGGCAATTTGGTATCATCTGGTTTTGAAAAGGTGGTAAAGTTGGGATGTTTTGTCACAGTAGCAGAGAGAGAAAAAAATTAGAGTATAGTCAGTTAAATGGCTAACAGTGTTTAGTATCTAGACTCTAGGGATTGTCAAGGCATATCTGAAGAGTGAATTACAGTTCTTATGATCCTTGATTCTATATGTGGTACAGTTTGAGTTGTATTAAAGCAAGATGGTACACTAAACAAATGAAATATATACATAATTCATGAATATGAATGGAAAATAACAATTAGTAACTATAGGATAGCTGACTAATTTTTCCATGAATATTTTTTATTATAATATTGTTCTGAATTAAAAATTTGTGCATAAAATTAAAGATTAGTATCATTTACTTTTTTTTTTCTTTAACATTTATTTATCTTTAAGAGACAGAGAGAGACAGAGCATGAGCAAGGGAGGGGCAGAGAGAGAGGGAGACACAGAGTCCGAAGCAGGCTCTAGGCTCTCAGCTGTCAGCACAGAGCCTGACGTGGGGCTCAAACTCAAAAACTGTGAGATCATGACCTGAGCCGAAGTCGGACACTTAACCCACTGAGCCACCCAGGCGTGCCCTTTTTTAACATTTATTTTTGAGAGATAGAGACAGAGCATGAGCAAGGGAGGGGCAGAGAGAGAGAGAGGGAGAGTATCATTTACTTTTTTTTTAAGTTTACTTTATTTGAGAGAGAGAGAGAGTGAAAGAGTGAGAGAGTGAGCAAGCTGGGGAGCAGCAGAGAGAGAGAGGGAGAGAGAGAATCCCAAGCAGGCTCTGCACTGTCAGCATGGAGCCTGACAGAGGGCTTGATCTCACAAACAGTGAGATCATGACCTGAGATGGAATCAATAGTCGGATGCTTAACAGACTAAGCCACCCAGGTGCTCTAGTATCATTTACTCTTTAAAATAAGAAACAAATGTACTATCTGGGCTGTAAAGTTACTCGAATAATGGGTTAGCCCTATTCTGTCTCTGAGACTGGCTTTTATTTTTTTTTTCAACGTTTTTATTTATTTATTTTTGGGACAGAGAGAGACAGAGCATGAACGGGGGAAGGGCAGAGAGAGAGGGAGACAGAATCGGAAACAGGGTCCAGGCTCTGAGCCATCAGCCCAGAGCCTGACGCGGGGCTCGAACTCACGGACCGCGAGATCGTGACCTGGCTGAAGTCGGACGCTTAACCGACTGTGCCACCCAGGCGCCCCGAGACTGGCTTTTATAAAGTCTCCTTGGTGCTGGCTGGAGATCAAACTTGGGGTGATAATCAGCAACAGCTGATATCTATTGAGAAGGCTAATTAACCTTTAAGAAATTTATAAAATCTCATGAATGTATGTAAGTACATATACGTACGTGTTGTATTTACCATATTTTATATTTTCTGACAATTTTCAGTTAAAACTTCTCTAAAGATAGTACGTCTTGATTAAACAATTTTTTTTCTTTTCATTTAACTCTTATAATTGATTCATATTTTCAACCAGAAGTGTCTTGTATATAATTACTTGTAAATTAAATACACATGCTATTGAAAAGGTATATTAAATATTAGTAAAGTTTAATTTCTCTTTTACAGAACAAGATAAACACAAGGAGAGAGCCTAATAGATCTGTGTGGATAGTCTTTGCAGACCTTGCTTTAGGGTCAAGGGAAGTGTGGAAACAGGGCAGATGAAGGATAGAGTCAAATCTCTGAAGGTAAAAAAAAAAAAAAAAAAAAAAAAATTTCTGAGGGTCATTAATAACTCTGCTTTATAGACAAATCAGTGATCTGCTTTTGGTTAGTGACACTATTACTAACACAGTATAAAACAGAGACCTCATAATTTCAATAACTGAAAAAAATCCTTAAAGTAGTGTAAGAAGTTACTTACGTTTTTAAGAAATGCAGATGGTGTTATAGTATCCAAGGCATTGTCTGTGGCACATAGGTAAGTGATTCCATCAATAAAGAGAGTATGGTAGACAAAGCTTTGAAAAGAATACATTCATTTACATGATAACACTGAAGGCATTAAGTACCCTCACAAAGAATATAATTTTGTTTTCAAGCTCTCATTAGTAGTATACAAGCTATATAGATAACTTTTTACAATAAGAATTAGAAAATCTTTCATATATGTGAAAAATTAAATTATGTTAAATAGAAACTATAAAATTTGAATATGTATTTAATATCGTATCAGTAAAAATGAAATACAATAAAGAGAAAACTCTATATTTAAAATGACATTGAATTAAAAAAATTTTTAATGTTTATTTTTGAGAGAGAGACAGAGACAGAGACACAGCACGATGGGAGGAGGGGCAGAGAGAGAGAGGGAGACACAGAATCTGAAGCAGGCTCCAGGCTCTGAGCTGTTAGCACAGAACCAGAAGTGGGCTTGAATTCACGAACCATGAGATCATGACCTGAGCAGAAGTTGAATGCCCAAGGTACTGAGCCACCCAGGCACTCCTAAAGTGTCTCTGACAGAATCACTCATTCCAAGACTGAATCAAGATTCTCATCTTGATCAAATAGAAAATGCTATGTTCACTCATTTTTACTATCCCTCTATCTTTATTTTTTTAAAAAAAATTTAACATTTATTTATTATTGAGAGATAGAGAGAGACAGAACATGAGCATGGGAGGGGCAGAGAAAGGAGGAGACACTGAATATGAAGCAGGCTCCAGGCTCTGAGCTGTCAGCACAGAACCCGACCCGGGGATTGAACTCACAAACCGCGAGATCATGACCTGAGTCGAAGTCAGACGCTTAACTGACTGAACCACCCAGGTACCCCGATCCCTCTATCTTTAGGTAGACATATTTAATTTTGGTACTTCCTGGCTTTCTATTATGATAGATTAGAATTTAAAAGTTGTAAACTGTTAATACTAAATATTCTGAAGAACCAGATGAACTGGGGAGGGGAAATTAAACTCCCCTATAGTGTGCAAAAGTGTATCTGAGCTGACCTTTTGTGCTTTCTCAGAGTCACATATTAGCAAGCTAGAAGACTCTTGGAAAGTACCTCTATCTTTACTGCCCAACAATCCAGAAAATTTAAAAACATGGCAACAAAAACAGTTGCTTGGTCCCTAGACTTTCATCTAGTCATTTTGCACACTCTATATCCAAATGGTTAACAGGCAACAGATCTGGTCAAATGCTAAACTGGATATACACAAAAGTGATGAATCTTAGAAACAGGTAGAAAAGATAATCCCAGAGACAGCAAATGTAAGGCATGTGCCCTTTCAACGTAAATCCTTCATGTCTTATCATGAATACAACATGCTACATGTATATATATATCTGCTACAAATATATTTTTTAAAAATGTTTATTTATTTTTGAGACAGAGAGAGACAGAGCATGAACAGGGGAGGGTCAGAGAGAGAGGGAGACACAGAATCGGAAACAGGCTCCAGGCTCCGAGCTGTCAGCAGAGAGCCCGACGCGGGGCTCGAACTCACGGACCATGAGATCATGACCTGAGCCGAAGTCGGACGCTTAACTGACTGAGCCACCCAGGCGCCCCTGCTACAAATATTTTTAATGATGATATTGACTGATACATATAATCTCCACTTGGAAAATGTTTTTATTTCTAAATTGGGAGGAGTCTTTGTGGAAAAAAAGTTGCTAATTCTATCATCTCTCTGAAAGTTATATGTGTGATCTGAAGTAAATTGATATTGGATGTATGGGAGGAGATATTTTAATTTTATGCTTAGTATGTTATTACTGAGTAACATTCAGAAACCATCTTTAGGGGCACCTGGGTGGCTCAGTCAGTTAAGCGTCTGACTCTTAGTTTTGGGTTAGGTCATGATCTCATGTTGTGAGTTCAAGCCCCGTGTGGGGCTCTGTGCTGAGACTGAAGAGTCTGTTTCTGATTCTCTCTCTCGCTCTCTCTCTCTCTCTACCCCCCCCCCCGCCCCGCCTCTGTCCCTTCCCTGCTCACACACACATACACTCTCTCTTTCAAAATAACAATAATAATAATAATAATAATAATGATAATAATAAAGATCACTTGTCTTAAAAAAAAAAAAGGAAGAAATCTTTAAAAGTTAAAAAACCCTGGGGCAGCTGGGTGGCTCCGTAGGTTAAGCATCTGACTTTGGCTCAGGTCATGATTTCACAGTTCATGAGTTTGAGCCCCATGTGGGGCTCTGTGCTGACAGCTCAGAGCCTGGAACCTGTTTTGGACTCTGTGTCTTTCTCTCTGCCCCTCCCTGCTCATTCTCTCTCTGCACCCCCCCCCCCCCCAAATAAACAAACATTAAAAAGAAAAAGAATTTTAAAAGTTAAAAAACCTTGATTACCTGATGTTCAACATATACTGGTAACTAACAAAAATGAGATGAGGAAAAGTGTGTATGATGTACTACCACTTATCTATCATTCTCATACTTTTTCCTAAGGAAAATGCACATATATATGCATGTGTCTCTTATAGGAAAAAAAAGCAAAGAAAAAGAAAATGACAAACTAAAAACTTAGTCAAAATGGTTACCTGTATAGGGGGAGAGGGAGAACAGTGCAGAGAGGAAAGAATAAAAATTAGACTTTAAAAAAAAATTTTTTTTAACGTTTATGTATTTTTGAGACAGAGAGAGACAGAGCATGAACGGGGGAGGGTCAGAGAGAGGGAGACACAGAATCCGAAACAGGCTCCAGGCTCTGAGCTGTCAGCACAGAGCCCGACGCGGGGCTCGAACTCACGGACCGAGAGATCATGACCTGAGCCGAAGTCGGCCGCTTAACCGACTGAGCCACCCAGGCGCCCCTAAAAATTAGACTTTTTGCAGGAAACTTGTTTTTTCAATTTGATTTTGGAATCACATATATGTTTTGCCTAATAATAAAATGCTATCAAATCAAACTTTAAGAGAGAAATGCTTAAAAATAAAAAACACAAAGACAAAAATGAACTTGACTTTGTATCAAGTAACCCAGACAAGAGATGATGGTGTGGTTCCTACGCTAATGGTGGAGGTGGTCAGGTTCTGGATATATTTGGAAGGTAAAGGCAACAGGATTTGCTGACGGGCTGGATTTGGATGTCAAAGAGACAAAAGTCGAGGATCAGAAAGGTTTCAGGCCTGAGGAACTGGAAAGGTGATATGTGGAAGACTGCAGGGGGAGGCTTCGTTTTGGACATAAGTTTGCAATGTCTATCAGATGTCCAACAGAGATGTGGAATAGGCAGCTGGATATATGAATCAGGAGTTCAGGAAGAGGTATTCAAAGGATTCAAATTAGAATGCACAATATAGGTAAGTAAATTGTAGATGACTAGATGAGAAAAGTGTCTTTTTGAAATCGCACTGGCTAAGAAGTGAAAACAAAATTAGAATATCACCATTTTACACAAGGAATATCAATGGCTGCTAGCATGGCAAAAGGAGACAGAAGCAGACACATGTACCATCTCATGAAAAAAACACCTACAGTCTTGCCGTAGGGATCAAGCCTGTGGATTCAGCTGCCTGAAACATGGTATACTGCATTTTGAATATGCAATCAGCAATACCAGAGTGTGGGAAACTCTACACTCCACAGGTTCTTCAATGATAAATTGTAAGGAAAAGAAAGGGATGGAGAGGGAAAATATAGAGATTTAAAAGACACCAAAAGAAAAGAGCCGGCAGGATTAGGCACTCATGTTTGAGGCTGCCTATTTGGGTTGAGGCAATGAAGAAGCAGGGTGAGTAACTGCTATAGAAGCTGGAACACTGGTTGGTTTGGGGGAGAGGGAGAAAGCTGTGGATGGGACAGGGCACATGGCCAAAAATATTCTGTATTTTTGGCTTGGGTGGTAGCTGCATTTGGTGGGCAGGTTCCCTTGTAAAGCTTCATGAAGTTATCCTTTTGCTTGATGTGGTTTTTGTATTTTGTTTTATTTTACAGTATAAAGGTTAAAAGAAACCTACTCTTGAAAAAAACCAATGGTGAGTCTAAAAATAATAGACGCTCTCTTACTCTCCACCTGTTCTTTCACTAGCAAAATGTTTTCAAGACTGGCTTAGGCCATACCATGTAATGTCCCAAGTATAGCTTAGAGTGGTCTTATTAAAGATTTTTCAAGTGGAAGTTTCCTTTTTTATTAAAGAAATATTTTGGGTATACTAAAAAAGTATGAAGAATAAGATAATGAGAACACTTTAGACCTACCATCTGCTTAAAATGTTACAGATACCATAATGTCCCATGTATACCCTTCCCCAACTTCGTTTTTCTCCCTTCCCTTTGCAGAGGTAACCACTATCTTGAATTTGGTGTTAATCATTCTCATCTGATCTTATACTTTTACATATAGACGTTCTCTCTTCTGAAGGTTCAATCAAGAGCATGTGCAACCAACATTTTTTTCTCATGTCATTATTATTGCTAAAAAGCAGACCTTTATTAGAATGTAACTTACCTTCCCATCTGCATTATGGTCTTTGGCTCAGCTCTAAGAAGCACCAGTCGAAGCACTGTTGCCGCTGCTTCCTAAAAATAAATTATCAGCGTTTACTTTGTGGACGATTGTAGTGTCTTTCATTATGCCTCCTCCTAAATTTACCAATGTTCTCATTGGTTTATTAAAGAACAAGTGTTCATGAGGAGAACTAACGGGTAGTCATAATACATGGCGAAAGGCAAGTTATAAAATATTCATTTGAATCTGAAGGAAAATATTAAAATTACACAAATATATGTTGTGTGGATACTTACATGTGCAAATGCAGTTTGCTTAGAGTTACAGCTTACATATGGCTTTAAGGCTGGGAAGCACTATCTAATCAAGTATCTTTTCAGTGTCACTGAAATATGTAAAAATGTTAATGGGTTAAAAGTATTCAGCTCTTATTCTCTGAATATCCTAAGCAGTCTTTCTTTAAAGATAAAAATTTTTATCCAATATTATTTACTGATCTCTTTTTATGAAAGAAATAATTGCCAAGATCCCTTATTATCTGTTTCTTATAAGGCTCATTTTCTGGGGGAAAATGTGCAAGGTGTTAATGACTATCCAGAATATCTTAAATATAGTTAATTGTATGGAGTCCTATTAATTTACTTTAGAAGTGTGAAAGGAACCTGAAAGTTACCTAGGAAGACTTGAATAGTCACATTCCTAATTAGCTTTTCCATTTACACAAAATGACACTTGAAATAAAAACTTTTGGGGAGGGAAAAACTTATTATTAATAGTAGAAAGTAAAACGTGAAATTCTTGGTAGTGCTTGAACAATCCAGGCGGTATTGTCCAGGGGAAAGATTTCCTATGAAACACAAAAATTAAGGGGATATATAAACTTTCAGTTACTATATTATCATTACTGGAACATTCTCCTAGCTTTCACCAAGTGTCCTTTTTAGGTAATATAAACAAGGAAATCATAGCAAAATCTGAAATAAAGTGAATGGCAACAGGAGGCAGGAACACGACTGACAAAGTAGGCTCTAGCTCTATTTCTGGAATTACTGTGCTACACATCTTAAGAAAGTGACTTGTCTGGGTCTGTTTCCTCATGTGAAGAATGAAGGAATTGGGCAAGACGCTCTCTAGAGTCCTGTCCAACTCCAGGACCCTTTAACAGCAGCGGATTTGATCTCACAATTAAGCTTTGGTAGATACTAATACTTTTCTAATGAATGTAAAATATTTGTGACATTAATATTTAGCACTGAGGAAAGACACGATAGACCGTTCCTTAAAGCTCCTTGTCACCCTTTTTCTTCCCCCTGGTCAGCTTTCTGCACAGCAGTCATGCCAAACCTTTAATCCTCTCCTCTAATTGCATACTGGTCCAGCCCATTCCACTGTCTTACTTTCCTGCATGCTTCATAAAGAGAGGCCTTCGGCCTTATGAATTTCTTCAGCTTTCTGTCTCTCTCCTTCCTTGTTTGTTTTTAAGTTTAGTTATTTTTGAGAGAGGGAGAGAGACAGAGCGATTAAAGGAGGGGCCGAGAGAAAGAGGGAGAGAGAGAGAGAATCCCAAGCAGGCTCTGCACTGTCAGTGTGGAGCCCAATGTGGGGCTTGAACCCACGAACTGTGAGATGATGACCTGAGCTGAAGTTGGACGCTTAACAGACTAAGCCACCTAGGTGCCTGTTTTTTTTTTTTTTTAAGGTTTATAGTTTTGAGAGACACAGAGATTGCAAGCAGGGGAGGAGCAGAAAGAGAGGGAGAGAGAGAATCCCCAGCAGGCTCTGTGCTGCCAGTGCAGAGCCCTACTTAGGGCTCGAACCCATGACCTGAGCTGACATCAAGAGTCAGACGCTTAACCTACTGAGCCACCCAGGTGCCCCAATTAGTTCTTTATGAGAACCTACTGTATACTATGGATCATACACTGCAAAGACAGAGATGACATTCCTTGTCTTGAAGGAATCTGATCAGAAAAAGAAGATTCCAATTCAGCCTGGTAAGTAGTTTCTTAAAGGTACGTAAATTAGCCTAGGCATAGAGAAGGCTTCAAGGAAGAATTGAGACAAGTTTCAAAGTCCAGAAGAGGTTATATTACTAAAAAGTGGAGAAAAATGGGGTTCCAGGGAAAGGGAATGGAAGCTGCAAAGGGAGACCTTGGTGAGATCAGCATGAAGTTCAGGGTAGCCAGAGCACAGGAATATTCAGGAAGAGAAGGAGGCAGTCATGGAAAAGCCCTACCACATAGGGCCCTGAATTTCAGGCTAAAGGAGTATGGACTTTACTCTGAATGTAATCAGATGCCACGGAATGATTTTAAGCAGGGGAGTGACTCATATTTGCTTTTTAGGAACAATCACTTGAGTAGCAGTGTGGAGGCCAGTTCTGAGAAGGATAAGGCTAAAGTCTGAGAGATCATGCCTAAGAGGTATTTTTTTTTTCTTTTTTAAGAATTTCATTTATTTATTTATTTATTTATTTATTTATTTATTTACACAGAGGGTGCAAGTGAGCAATGGGCAGAGAGGGAGAGAGGGAAATTGAGAGAGAGAGAGAGACAGAGAGAGAGAGAGAGAGAAGCAGGGTTCACCCAAAGCAGGGCTCGAGTTTGTCTGATGCGGGAATCAAACTCACAAACTGTGAGATCATGACCTGAGCCGAAGTCAGATGCTTAACCGACTGAGCCACCCAGGCACCCAAGAAGCATTTTCAATAACCCTGGTATCAGGGCCTAGAAGGTTCAGAAGCAAGGATTTGGTTTTAAGACATATACTGGAGGGGCGCCTGGGTGGCGCAGTCGGTTAAGCGTCCGACTTCAGCCAGGTCACGATCTCGCGGTCCGTGAGTTCGAGCCCTGCGTCAGGCTCTGGGCTGATGGCTCAGAGCCTGGAGCCTGTTTCCGATTCTGTGTCTCCCTCTCTCTCTGCCCCTCCCCCGCTCATGCTCTGTCTCTCTCTGTCCCAAAAATAAATAAATACGTTGAAAAAAAAATTAAAAAAAAAAAAGACATATACTGGAGATAGAACTAGTAGAACACAATGACAAATGAACAAATGTAAAAGTGAAGAATGGGCAGTTGAAGAGGACTCTCCAGTTGCCAGCTTGAATGGCTCAGTAGAACTACTCAGCAAGGTGAGAAACAGATGAGGAGGAATCTTCTAGGAAAGATTATTAGCTCTGGACATGGTATGTTTGAATGTCTATTGGGCAATGTAACTGTGGAGAGAGATCACTCTGGAAGTGGACTTGGCAGTGGTCAAGGTAAAGGTGTCTACGGGTGTGAATGAATGTATCAGGTTAAAAGAGGATGGAAGTAAGAACCTTGAGCAACATAGCACTTCAGGGACTGGTAAAGAGAGCCAGGAAGGAGACCAAGTTCTCTGTCTCTATATCCAGACTCCTCCATTCCCCAAGAGAAAGAAGACATTCTTCTGTCCCAAGAGTCACATCTCCACTGCTATGCTGTATTCCATTCCGTTGAGCTCCTTCAGGGCTTACCGTACTAACTCCTTCTCTCTTAGATCTTCAACCTTTTCTCCTTCCCATTAGCCTACATGCATTGAGAATCCTCCCTGTTTTGAAACATGAGGCCCCTTCCTGGATCACACTTCCTCAGCTTTCACTCTGTCTCCCTCCCTTTCTAAATTCTCGTAAAGATGGTCTAACTACACTCACCCTACTTCCTCATCTCCCAATCAGTTGGCCCAAAGCAGCCTGGCTTCCGCCTCTACCACTTCTTCCAAACTGCTAACTATGTGGTCACCAATCACCTGCTGATTGTAGAGTTCTAGGAGTACCTTTTAGATCTTGTTCAACTTCTTTGGGGTATAAAACATTCTTGTAACTCTCTTCCCTTGGCTTTCAGGGCACCACTGCCCTCATTTGGTGTCCCACTTCTCTATTTTGCTCCTGAACAGTGTTCTGCCTTTTGGTCCTTTTCTCTCCTCACTCCCATACTTTTCTTTTCCACCCCCTTCTACTATCCTCAACTGTTAGCCCTGACCCTCTGAGGGCTACCCTATTGGACATTTTTCGACTTAAATCTTTTGGGAATAAGGTGGATAAGGAAGTACATAAATAGATTGGTGTCTTCTAACAGGCAACAAAATCCAACCTGTCTCAAACTGTACTCTCTTCTCCTACATTCCCTCTGACTTCCTCCCTCACAATCCTCCTCCATCTGTCGTTTCAATCTTGTTTAATGCCACCTAAGAAAAAAATTTAACAAATCATCACATTGTACACCTTAAATTTACACACTGTCATACGTGAATTATGGCTCAGGAATTGTGGGGGAGAAAGATTAAAAAAAGAAAAACAAAGAAAAAAATGGAGAATCACCTTGGCATGACCCTATTCCCTTAGTTTTACAAAGTCTCTAGGATCTGCCCCCTCCTTCCCATTTGCACTGTCATTCGCCCTTACCTCAGGCCCTTAAAACTCCTAGAGAACAATACCATCCTAACTGGTTCTTTCCCCTTCAATCCACCTTCCATATTGTAACTAGACCAAGTTTTGTGGAAGATGAATCAGATACTGCTATTAATGAATTTAATTGCTCAACACGTTCCCCTACGATAAGAAAACAAACTAAATATAGGACTCTTCCTTAACTAACCTCTGCCGGCTTTCTTGACCTCATCTTTAGCCCTTACATACTGTGACCCTGTGCTCTAGCCACACTGAGGTTCTTGAGGTTCCAACACACTATGCTGTTCCATCTGAATGCAGGAGTCCCCATTTCCCTTTCCCGTCCCAGGCTAACACTAACTCTCAGAAGGCTTCTACGCCAAGCACCCTAATATCACCTCCGCTGTGGTCAGCAAGCGGCCACCCATCCTGAGTGCTACAGACGCAATCCCGACCTATCTCCACTGGCAGACTTTTTACACTGTAGGGCAAACTGTATATAGCCCATGGTCATAAAGAGACAACGAGCTCATCAATGGGCAACTCCGGGTCCCGTTTTCTCTTCAAATAACACCTTTACCAAATAACACATGTTCAATAAGTGTGTTTTGAACTGCAAGTCATTTCTCCGCAGGGGAGAGAAAATCTTTTTAAGGGTCTCCGGAATTGCAGCAGCACGTGGCTACTAATCACGGCCAAATGGGTCGCGCGCACCACCAACCCCAACCCCCAGGCGGCGCACGTGTGGCTCCGCAGTTCGGAAGCGCGCCAGCGCTCGCCCGGGATTCACCGCCTCCCAGAAGCAGGCCTTTCTCGGGGCGGTGCCTCTCGTCCCCAGTGCAGGCTCCCAGCCGCCCGGCAGCGCAGCGTCCTGAAGGGCGGACCCGACAGGCGCCACCCTTGAAGTGCGGAACCTGCCAAGGCGGAGGTCCGGACCCAGGGGTACCTGATAGGAGCCGCCGGTCAGGGACAGCTCCGCTAGGACCGCTCGGCCATTAGCAATACAGCTGTAGGTGATCGTCATGGCGGGCGGGCCAGTTAAAAAAAAACCTGCCGCCTCACCTAACCGCCCGACACAGCCTCGGGGCCGTACCTGGGGCGGGGATCCGGGCGGTGCTTGCGCAGGCGCGAGGAGCGATTGATTGGCGAGGAGGGTGGGGGGGCCGTCCCTGGTCTGGGCAGAGCCTATGAGGAGACGGGGGCGGGGTTTCGTAAAAAGCGGGCTTTGGGTGAGTGAAAAGTTTCTCCTTCGTCGTTATCCTCAACATCTTTTGGTGAGAGCCAGTTTACTTCACAGTACTTACCTACCTATGATTCATTCACAGTCTACGACGTGTAAAGTATAGCCCTTGACTTAAAATACACCAACTCAGCAAGTATTTGTTGAAACCCCACAGTGCAGGCCCTGGCCCCTGGCGTTGGGAGTTCGTATTCTGCAAGTGGTTACAGAGGCATAGGCAGGCAGACGCCAATCTCAAGTGGCATGTGTGTGCCGCGGTGGAAAGATAAACTGAGTTGCAGAAGCTGGAGTGGAGGCAGCTAATTGTCCTTGGCAGAGGGAGCAAAGCTTCCAGTGTCCTTCTGATTTAGGAGGAGTTGATATTCTCTAAGTGGGGAAGGACAGGACAGTTAACAGAGGGAACTGCTAATGTCAAGGGTTTAGAGTGGCACGTGGGTTTAGGGAATGCATAGGAGTGAGTGTGGTAGGGTTGGGTAGGAGGTGAGAGGGTAGGAGTGGTAGAATGACTTGTTATCCTAGATCTTGAGTTCCCTGACAAGACTTTTTTAAAATATAAGCTTAAGAGAAGGTCATATATTTTCATTAGCAGGCTGTCGTGGTGGAGTGAAAAGAAGTTAGAGAAACTTGGATTAAATATAGGCATTGTTCCCGCCCCCACCTCCTGTCATTTGGAGGACCGGGGAACTCTTGATCTTGGGGTCATGAGTTTGAGTCCCACGTGGGGTGTAGAGATTACTTAAGTAAAAAAAAAAAAAAAAAAAAAAAAAAAAAAAAGTTAAAATGGGCATTGTTATTTACTCTGTGCCTTTATTGTAACTTAGCCTTTCTGAGACTCAGTTTCCTAATCTATAAAATGGGGAAAGTCATCAAGTTTAAGTTATTAGGCAAAATACTCAGCATACCATAGATAAGCAATTGCACCCTTAGTGTGATAAATACATTAATAAGAATTACTTTCTTGCTCCCAGTGGTATAACTTTAAAGGAAAAGCAATCAATGTCCTTCTGGGGTGATTGGCAGAGGTGAAGACAGGTAATCAATTAAGCTTATTTTAACCCAGTGCAGTCAGATTGGATTTGACAAGGAGGTAGCAAAACTTGTCTGGACTGTGGCTCCTGAGGAAAATGCTTTGTTGAATCATATATACTCCTATATAAAGGAAATCTTGAATCAGTGTGTCTTATCAGCTTAGAGAGAATGTCTTGTGTTACAGGTGGGGGTCACTGAATTAAAAGCATTGGTCACATTATTTGTATGTAGGAACATGAAATACATTAATTCTGAGGTAATCATTGGAATATTTTTTTTGTTTTTTAAGATTTTATTGTTAAGCCATCTCCACACCTACCAACATGGGACTAGAACTCACAAGGATCGCTTGCTCTACCAACTGAGCCAGTCAGGTGCCCCTCGTTGGAATATTCTTGCTTACAGTGAAAATAAGCTGAATAAACTTGGCGAAATTGCAGCACCCCTTGTGTTTGGTAAGTGGTGGAGCCAAAAGAGACTGGGCAATGAAGTCATGAGCTGTAGTAATGACAACATGCATCTGGTAGTTGAAAGGGTGTATATGGGGCCTTCCTCATCTCAGTCTTACCTTGTCGCATTGAAACAATCCTGTAAAGCAGGTGTGATGGGTTCAGTTTGCACAAGCCACAAATTCAGGCCCACAGAAATGCAAAATGTAAATTATAATACAACTCTATCTTTCTTTGAGCCCCATTTTACCTGAAATCTGAGGCTTAATCTAGTCAATGCCAGGTTTCCTCAGTCAACTCCAGATTTACTTCTTCCCTTCTTTCTATCCAGGGTAGGGGCGGCATCTGTGTGTGTGTGAGGGCCCTGGTGGTGGGGGAGACCTGAGTCGTGATAGTCATCTCTTTAAGGTGGCTCCTGCTGCTAACGTTTGTTTTCTGTCTCGGGTCATCAGTTCACACACTGCATTGGGAAACTCAAGGCACCTTCAGCCACTCTGGTTGTCTCTCAGCCACTTTTGTAGCCCTCCTGGGGCGAGGAAAACTTTCCCCTGCTCCCTCATGCCATTCTGAGGTGGTGGGAGGCTTGAGAGGCTGTCTCAGGCCTCTGGCCAACACACCATGCTGCCACCCCTCTGGTCATGCTGTCGTCGTGCTGTCATTCTGTCGTCATGTGGGAAGCAGCTCTTGGATCTATCTCACCTGGGAAGCAAGCCCTTGGATCCCCAATTAACTGAGAGCTTTCTCATCACCACACTCGTCACCCCTCACCTTCCAGCGGGGACTCTAGCTAATTGGATTGCTTCCTTCGGACTCTGTCCTCTCCCAGCCTGTGGAAACTCCAGCAAGTTTAGGTGGGGAACCTCCTACCACCCAGGGCATTCTTCCCAATTTATGGCATTAATGTTGGCTTCTGCTGCCTAAAACTTTTCTTTTCGTATACTCTCTCTTCAGGGAGTTTCCAAAACCTACTTTGAAACTTGAAGAGCTGAGAATCTTTTCCTTCTTCCCCTGCTCTTCCACCTCTGCCCCTTCTCCTCCTCCTCCTCCATTTTCTTTGTTCTCTATTTTTATGCAGAGAATAACAGAATGAAAAGCAACAGGTAATATGAAACATCACTGGCATTTTTGTCTTTCCCTTGATAGTTTGACAAAACCTTGAGGGTGGAGCAGAGTGGGTGGTGAGAAGCTGGATCCGAGGGAAGGAGAAATCGGACATTCACTATTGTCCTTTTTTTTTTTTTTTTTTTAAATATTTAAGTGTTTAGTTTGGGGGAGGGGAAGTGAGAGAGGGAGGGAGGGAGAGAGAGAGAGGGAAAACGAGTAGGGGAGGGGCAGAGAGAGAGGGAGACACAGAATCCAAAGCAGGCTCCAGGCTCTGAGCTGTCAGCACAGAGCCTGAAGCGGAGCTCGAACTCAGGAAACGCGAGTTCATGACCTGAGCAGAAGTTGGATGCTTAATCGACTGAGCCACCCACGCACCCCCACTATTGTTCATTTCTTTTAAAACAAGCTTTTAGACTTTATGACTACTGTCATTGACTAGTGAACCTATTGCCATTGCTTTTTACAGATTATCTTTTCAGATGGAAAAGTCACTAGTTTTTAAATTATCCAATTTCTTAGGTCACTGAGGAGTTTGTAAATATTCCATAAGCTGGAGACTATCAAGCACTCACTAATTCAGGATTATTATTTAGTAATGAAATTCTCCTCTAAAGGATTTATTCCTCTTTTACTTCTTGCTCTTCAAAATGAGAATATTTATGGGAATGCAAATTGGTACAGCCGCTCTGGAAAGCAGTGTGGAGGTTCCTCAGAAAATTAAAAATAGACCTACCCTATGACCCAGCAATAGCACTGCTAGGAATTTATCCAAGGGACACAGGAGTACTGATGCATAGGGGCACTTGTACCCCAATGTTCATAGCAGCACTCTCAACAATAGCCAAAATATGGAAAGAGCCTAAATGTCCATCAACTGATGAATGGATAAAGAAATTGTGGTTTATATACACTATGGAATACTACGTGGCAATGAGGAAAAATGAAATATGGCCTTTTGTAGCAACGTGGATGGAACTGGAGAGTGTGATGCTAAGTGAAATAAGCCATACAGAGAAAGACAGATACCATATGGTTTCACTCTTATGTGGATCCTGAGAAACTGAACAGGAACCCATGGGGGAGGGGAAGGAAAAAAAAAAAAAAAAGAGGTTAGAGTGGGAGAGAGCCAAAGCATAAGAGACTGTTGAGAACTGAGAGCAAACTGAGGGTTGATGGGGGGTGGGAGGGAGGAGAGGGTGGGTGATGGGTATTGAGGAGGGCACCTTTTGGGATGAGCACTGGGTGTTGTATGGAAACCAATTTGACAATAAATTTCATATATAAATTAAAAAAAAAAAAAAGGAAAAAAAAAAAAAACCAAAATGAGAATATTTATATATTTTTTTCTTGTAGTATGTAATCACTGTAGAAATTCAAATGATATGGCAGTAAAAGTCTTTCTATTTTTACCAAACCATAAAAAACTCACTGTAATAATCTAATTTATATTCGACTGTTTTGATGCATTTTTATATTTAACATTAGTGATACATGCATACTGTTTTTTCCAAAATCTGTTTTTTGTTTTGTTTTTTAAAGAATATTTTAAAAATTGTTTTTATTATTTATTTATTTATTTTGAGAGAGACAGAGTGTGAGCAGGGAAGGTGCAGAGAGAGAGGGAGACATAGAATCTGAAACACGCTCCAGGCTCTGAGCTGTCAGCACAGAGCCCAATGTGGGACTTGAATTCACAGATCACAAGATCATGACCTGAGCCGAAGTCAGACACTTACCTGACTGAACCACCCAGGCACCCCTGTTTTGTTTTTAAATCCATAACATGTTGCTTTCTTTGACCATCACATATATTTCAAATATTTTCTTCTGAGATTTATCATTTCCTTTTTCTTTCTGGTGCCTATTCTTTTGCAGACATTTTTGTTTTTTGTTTCTTACTTAGTTAAACATAATGTTTTTTATTATGATGTTGGAACTTAGTTAGACAGGGCTTCCTTTCCTGTTCCCATATGAAAATATTTCCTTAATTTTCTTCTGTTACTTTTGTTTGTTTTAATGGTTAAGTCTTTAATCTACCTGAAATTTGTTTCTTTGTCTCTTGTGAGGTAAAAATTTATGTTTTTCCAAAGGTACAGGCAGTTGTTTCAGGCCACTTACTTGAAACGCCACTTTTGCCATAAACTAAATTCTTCCACAACATTGTTTATTGGATTTTAGAGTTGATATACATGTCCTTTTCTGTGCTGATATTACAGTGATTCAATAACTGTAGCTCAAAATGCTTTAAATTTCACAGATTGGAAAGAATTAA